ACTTAATTTTTAGAACCCGAAAGAGTTAAGGAAAACAAAAGAAAAATTAGTCTCCTTATATAAGAAAAACAAACTACGCCAATAAGTTCGAAAATCTTCTAAAAGTTTCCACGGAAAGATAAAGAAAATCACGCAAAACTGATAATCAAACACGCAATTTTGCCAAGTGATGTGCCATTCTTCTAAAAAGTTCTATCTCCGAATCATTTAATCAACAATTACTTCATAATTACGACATGATTTCTAAAAAGGGAAATGGCGAAATGCTCAGCCCAGCACAATTACGCAATCTAAAAAAAATACTATTGTTCTTTTTTTAGCTCTCGGTTAAATTATCCCTTCTGGGTTTAATCTTGTCAATCAATTTCGGCAAACCTTAAAATGTTCTAATCTGCAATAATCACTTACGCCCTTATTATGTCAATCATTTCGGTTTATCTAAATTAGGTTCCATCTCCGAAACGCCAAGCAACACCCTATGACTTAACCATTACCTCACATCTAAACTTAAAACTATTATTCCTTACCGAAAGCGGTAAGAGTAAACATTGCTAATTTACTACACCAAGCACACCATTTCCGCAGTTTCTAACAGCAAGCGGTAAGGAATAATAAAAAGAAAGAGGTTTAAAAATTTATATATGAGTAAGAAAGTAACTGGGCGAACTAAACCGCTTTCTTTAAAGTCTACTCCTGAATTTCATCAACGATTAAAAACCTTGGCGAGTGAAGAAAAGTGTTTGATGATCGAAATCTTGGAAAGAGCCTTAGCAGTTTGAGAAGTCCAAAGAAGAAAGGAAAAAGAAAATGAACCTATCGTTGATGAGAAAATAGTACTAACCAAAAGCAGTAAACGCCAATTTGAGGATGATGAAACTGAGCAACCTAGCACTAATTCTAAAAAGAGAAAAATTGACCAATAGAAAAAAATCCGAGGTTATTGAATGTAACATGTATTGGTTATTAAAAGTGGGCATTAATTTTAAAAATGCTATATTGGGCTTTAAACTACCTTTAACTTTCTTTTTGGTTGCTTTTTCATCAAAAATAAGCAACTAATCCAATTACTATTAGTCCGATTAATATACTGCCTCCAATAATTCAAGGCATTCAATTAGTTGGTTTTTCTCCTCCTACTTCGGATCGCTCTTCTTCGGGAATCATTTTTAATGCTTCTTGTTTTACTTCTTCTAGTTGAGATTTGAATTCAGGGTATTCAGTCTTTAATTTATCTCATTCAGCAATGCCTAATTTACATTCTTGAATTCTAAGTTTGTATACTTCTTTATTCTCTTTTTTTAGTTTTTCTAATGCTTCTCTAACATCTTTAGCCGTACTTCTTACATTTTCTATGCGACAAGGGAGACAAATTTCTAATTGGGGGTTTGGTTCATCATAAATTGTAACAGTTTCAGTTTTTCGACAATTCGAACATTTTCCATTCTTTTTTAGTTTCATATATTTATTTTATACCCTTTTTGTTTATTTTCTGTTAAGGTATAAATAATATTTTAAAAAGGAGAAAACTTTCCCTCATGAATGTAGGTGCGGAGTTTACCTCTTTTCTTTAAATCAGTAATAGTTTCTCAATAGGTCTCTTTATCATAGTAAAAATTTAAAAAACAAGCATTACAAATCTGTCTATCTTTCTTTCTTGCCTTTTTATCTTTCCAAAAATCAGGATTTTTGGCTTCCGGATTGGTTCAGTATTCCCAATTATTCTTTTTGGAATAGGATTTATGGGGAATTACATATTTGATTTCAAAAGTATTTTTACATTTAAAGCACTTAACTTTTAAAGGTAGCGGGAAAATGTTCCCGTTGATTGATTCCACTGTTTTTTTTTTTTTTTTTGCTCCATAAGTTATTTTTTATATTGGTTTAAAAAATGGGCACTGTTTTTTTGTAGGATAATAAAGAATTCTGAATAGAACCTAACGATTTATGAAAAATGTGCAATATTGGGTGATATGAAAAGCGGAAAATAATTATTCACATGGTAATATAGCAAGGATATAAAAATGGTCGCGATATTTCTGAAAAAGTTTATGATTCAATTATTAAGACTTATGGGAGTGGTTTAAGTTTAGAGAGTTAAAAAATAAAACACGAACAAGCAAAAAAAGTATGAAAGGTGAGAAAAAGATGGCAAAATTGAATAGCATTTTCTTGGAATGGTTTAGAACTTGTTTGGTTATGGGATGAAATGTAAAATGAATATTATGACTGATTGAAAAGATATTCATGAGGATTTTGGTAAAGAAAGTTATCGAGTTTTTGGTGAAACTTACCAACAATTATGAGAACAAGTTAATTTTACTAAAGAGGAGGTTAAAGAATGAATAAAGGTTGGTTTTGAACCTAGAGATTTAGATAAAGTTGAACAATGAAAAAACTGTTCTTTCTCTCCTACTGAAACTAAAATCTGATTAGAAGTTGGTTTAAAAAAATATGAAGGAGAGTTTACTTCTTGATTAAGAACTAATAATTATACTCCTGAATTAGTTAAGAATAATCTAGAACAGTTAAGAAATGATTATAAAGAATTTAGAACAAATAACTCCCAAGTATGATTAGAACAAGTTTATACTAATAATAATATCAAAGAATTAGATATTAGAGATAGAAACCTTAAAGGTGAACTTAATCTTAGGAACTATCAACAATTAGAAGAATTACATTGTTCTTTTAATAAACTAACTAATATTATCCTCTCTACTAATCCAATTACTTATGAAATAAGAAATCAGGACTTCATTCCTACTAGTTTAAAAAAATTAGATTTAAGAAGTAAATCAAATCAAAAAAGTAAATGTTTTAGCCGTAAAAAAACTAACCAAACAATTACTAGCTGGAATAAAACAATTGACCGAAATAGAATATTTACAAGGCAGAGGTAAAGGCTGAATGTTTAAAGGAAAAAGAATAAGTATTCACTGCTTAGAGGCTTATTTAGTTTATTGATTGTTTGCTGAGTTGCAAAATTTAAAATTGTATACAGGTGTGTAAATATGTGTAAAATCATAATATGAAAGGTAGCAAAAAAATGGTTTCGGCTCTAGACGTGTCCCGATACCTTCTTTCTTTGGATAAAAAGAGAAAGTATTTTACCTCAAAGAGAATGTCTTCAGAAGAAGGTTGAGGAATTAATCCACCAGTGGAGGGAAATTTTCGGCTCAATAAATTACTTCATATTCTTCAAATACTTTACTATGTAAAGTATGGTGATTTTCTGTTTTCAGAAAATATGATAGCTTATAGAAATGGTGCAGTAGTGGAAAAGGTTAGTAAATCATTTTCTAATGAACTTTTTTATTTAAAAACTTTTTCCGAAAGTGAAAATTTAGATCCTGAAAGAAAAAAGTTCGTTGAAATGAAATTTAAACATTTTCGAGAATATAGCAATTATGAGTTGCAGGATCTTTCTCATGATGATCCAAGTTGGCAATTAGCTCGGGAAAAAGGAGATAATATTCTAATGTCTAGAGAATCTCATATTCTTAATTACTGAAAAGAATTTTATCAGCATGTTTTAGAAGAAGTAGAAATCCAAAATAAAGAGTAATGAAGTTAGTTGAAATTAGTAATAAAATTGTCTTTCTTGACTTAAAATATGAAGACGAAGATGATAATTTTAATACTGGTGAAAAAAGACCTTTTCTTATTCGCAAAAAGAAAGGAAATAAAGTTTATTTAATTCCCATTACTTCACAAGAAAAAGAGAGAGTTGGTCCGCTACAAAGATTAATTTCCTTTCCCGAAAATCCAACTTGTCTAACTAGCAAGGAGTATCCTTATTCTTATGCTAATCTTAATCGAAAAATTGTTCTCATGTTTAGGGAAGGAAAATTTTTTTCAAATAGTGATTTTTGTCGAAACGGATGTGCAATTTGTTTGCCAGAAAGGACTTATCAAAAACTTATTGATAATTATAGACGATTTTGACTCAACCCTTTAAACTTTCCTCAAGAAGAGAATAAAAATAAACTTCTCGAAAGAAAAAACAAAGCAAAAGAGATTAGAATTATTTTTAGTTCCGATAAATAATAAACCTTATAAAATAACATTAATTAACACATGCCAAAAGAAAAAGAACTTCCATTAATTTTGTATTTTTATGAAAAGGACAAAAGTGTTTCGCTTGAACAAGTTTTTGCTAAGCATCCCTTAGAAGAAAGTGGGGGAAGAAATAAAAGTAGAAAAAATTATTTTATTGACCGAGGAGGAGTAAAATTTTTCTTTCAATTAGACCATGTCGATTTAGAAAGGAGTTGGGGATTAGAAATTGGTTTAGATGATGATGACCAAATTCCTACTCAATTTAATTACTTAATCGTAGATAAAGTGCTACCCATCCAAAACTCTGTTTCTCCAAATTCAGAGGTTAATAAACATATCAAGGAACTTCATTTTTATACTAAAAAAATAATGAATATCTCTAACAATTTTTAGTAAATTATAAGAGTGAAAATATCCCTATTTTGGCTTTTTATAGGAAAATTAATCAAAATCCTCCGGTCTTTCAACCTCTCCTGCCCCTGGGTCTACGTCAGGTGGGTCTCTATCTCCGGTATCGGGTACATTATCAGGGTCATTAGGGTCTATTTCGGGAGCATCAGGAACAGGGTCTACGTTAGGCACATCAGGTTCCAAAGGTGGTATTTCTGTTTCCCCTCCTCCTGAACATTAGAAATAATTTCACCGGGATTTAAAGGAGCAGGAAGATTACCAAAACCTCCGGATGGTTTACTCGGCATGTTTCTTTTTATTTGTTCGGTTGTTTCAATCCTAATATTACCTACTGGTGCATCAACTATTAAGATACAGTCGTTTGGTACCATTATGTGAGTTTCACCACTGGCATTACTGTCAAAATAAGTATAAACGTTCCCTCCGCTTTTAATTGGTATTACCCTGCAAAAAATTAATTTCTGCTTTTGTCAAAAGAAAAAAAATCTTGACAATGCCTAAAATACTTGGTCAAATCCTTTTTGTTAATCGTATCTATAATTTCATTTTTTGCTTTTTCTAATTCTCTTCTTCGGCATCAGTTGGCAAGTTCTCAGTAAGATACCAAGATGCCTAGTAGTATTAAAGCATAACTCTATCGGATTTAGTTCAGGAGTATATTTAGATAAGTATACCAAGTTTAACATTCTTTTGTTTTGCTAATTCTTCTATACTTAAACCTAACTCCTCTAGTTCCTTGGTAGTAGAATGAATTGAAGAATTAAGAGATAATACATCTCATTAGTAGAGGTAATTTGATGCTTTTAAGAAAATTATAGAAGACTACGGCATAAGTTCCTTCGGTTTTTATTTCTTTACTTTTGACATTTTTAATAAGTTTATGACTAATCACCGCTCCCTTTTCTGCATTTCTAACACAAAGAATTAGATTGTGATTAACCCCCCTTTTACCTTTTCGCTCAACAACTGCTGGACAACCCTTTCTTGACTAAGCAACAACGAAAAGATTCACCTAAATGAGTGCTGAACTCATCTACCCGCTAAGCAATTAGGATGAGAATAAACTCAAGAATATTCTTTAAGGAAATTTCAAACTTCTTCTAATTTTTGTTCAGAATATCTTTTGGTTGCTATTTTGCCAGTAAGTTAACTGTATTTTTTTAGATGGTAAGAAAGAACTTGCCGATTCCTTCTAGTTAAACTAATAAAGTTTTTAATTATTCTTAAAGTTTCTTCTTCTCCGATTTGCCCTGGTTTTTTAGCAGTGGTTTTTGCCGAGGATAACAATACGATAAGTATTATCTAAACAACGTTATTCATCATGTTTATTTTCTTTTTTTGTTTCTTTCAAGGGGCGAACTTTTTCTAAAATTTCCTCCCAAAAAATCTCTTTTTCTAATTTTTCCACCACTTCTTTTTTCGGTCTAGTTATTGGATAACGGGGTTCGAACAAAGCACAACAATCGGCATAAGTTTTTAAAGAAATTTCATAAGTGCCTATTTTTTGAGCTTCGGTAATTATTTCGTTTTTGTTTCAACTAATTAATGGAGTTAGCAAACAAACTTGCTTGTCTTTCTTTTCTCTTAGTTTTTTAATTGTTCCTTCTAGTTCCCAATATCTATTTTTCATTTTTCTTTTTACTTTAAGACATTTTCGGAATCTTAAACCAATATAAAAAACAATTGCTAGTGTAGCAATCAAGCAAATAATCGGATAAGCCACTCCAATATAAAAACTTAATCACCCATGAGAATTAGGTGCTAATACAAATCAGACTATTCAAATAAAGGTTAGGGTAATACAGCAACAAAATCAGAAAAGAATTTTATTAATTATTTTTTTTTTTAAATCAATTATTCCTTTTTCATCCATTTCTAAATCATGACCTAATTCAATTACTTTTTGAGTTGAGACTTCTACTTGCTCGAAAGCAGTTATAGAGGCTTGTTGAATCACTCCTAAACTTTCAAGAGTTTGGGAAGCCACTTGGGCCAAAGAATCACCGGTAACAATGGCTTTAATTTCTAGTTCTTGGGCGAGCCGACAAGCGTAACGAATAAACATTCTTTTTAAAATAATTAGGCGATATTTTTCAAGACTAATATGCCTAATTTCAGTCAAAAAAGCTCGGGAATCAACTAAATAAATATCATTAGAATAATTATTATAAAATTTTAATTTTTCCCCCAAGGCAAAAATTTTAGTTTGTCCTTCGGTTTGCTGATAAAAGTGTAGATAAACAATCTCTAATCCTCTTTTCATTAGTTGGTAAGCTGCTACCGGCGAATCTATTCCTCCGCTTAGGAGCACCAAGGCTCGACCAGAACTACCCACCGGCAAACCGCCTAATCCGGTTAACCTTTCGCTAAAAACGAGAATAAAATCTCGGTAAATACGAATATAGAAAATTTTTTGGGGGTTGCTTAAATTAACTTTCAACTGATATTTTTTGACTATAATTTCTCCTAGTTCTTTTTGGAGAGTTGAAGAATTTTTGGGAAAATTTTTGTCATTACGGCTAATACTCAGTTTAAAAGTGGTGAAATTAATTTCATAATAATCGAACAATTTTTTCACAAAATTATCCAAGCTTTCCACACTACTTTCTAACTGGTAAGCCAAATAAAAAATGCTAATTCCGAAGATTTTTTTTAAAATCGGAATTAAAGCAGTTAAATCTTTTTCATTTTCGGTATTTATTATCAATTGGTCGGGGAGTTTTTTTATCCGAAAGTTAGCCAAGTTATTTTTTTGAAAGGCTAAATTGAGATTGTCGACTAACTTTTTAATGAAGTCGGGTTTATTTTTTCCTTTCAAAAATAATTCTCCGTAACGAATAATCAAGCATTTTTTATTCATTTAATTAATATGTTTTTAAATAATTGAGTGATTTTTGCTCCATATAAATTATTTTTCTTACGGGAGGTAAAAATAACAAAGGTAAACAAAAAAAACCTTCTTTAAAACCCTCCCGAGCAAAAGTTAGTTCTCTTGCTCCGGAGGAAAAGATTTTATTATCTTTTCTTTTCCCTCCAATTTATTTTATAAATAATTCAGACTCTCTTTGGTCTGAAAATTTTATTTTTTAATCTGTTTCTTTGGTCTTTTTTCTATCCGAATAATAAATAAGAAGTAATATCAGAGTTAAAAAAGTAAGAAGAGAAAAAATTAAAAAAGGATAGAAATATTTATCTCAAAAAAATTCTTTCGGTTTGGCAGTGTCTACGTTAATACAATCTAGACGGGAAAAAAGCGGATTAGGTAGTTTTCCAGTATCATTGGTAGAACTAGTGGCAATTAAAATAAATTGAGACAAATCAACTGTTTCTCCCTTAATTGGCAAAGAATGATTTTGAGCCGGGTCAAGGATAGCCAATAGAAATTTTTGGAGTGGAGATTTATTTTCAGTTTTGTCAATGTTTTTAAATCAAATAATTGGGAATTTTCCTTGTTCGATTTCTTGCTTATTATCAGTTAAATCAATAATTTCTTTAATTTTGTTCTCAATAAACTCTTTTTCTCGCTGGTTTTCTTTGGCAAAATCGATAGTGTTATTTTCTTTTATGGCACTATTTTTGGCTAATTCTTGATTGTATTCCTCACCGGCAAAAAAAGCCGGTCAAGAAAATTTTCTTCCCTCTTTTGGCTGATTTTTTTTATTAGTTTTTATTTCAATTTTGCTTTCGATAACTTTATTTATTCTTTCGCTAAGGTTAGTCATAATTATTTATTTTCATTACTATTTTTACTTTCATTTTTGATTATAAATCGTTTAAAAATTCAACTGGCGAGTAGGACAAAGTTAACTCCTAAGAGAATGAAAAGGGAATAATGAATTCAAGTGGCTTTAAATTCTTCTTGATAAGGGAAAACATTTTTTTTTATTCATTCGGAGGGGTTTTCGTTGGCGGTGAATCGTTCTCCTTTTTTTTTAGTATAGATATATTCTTGTTCTACCTTGTATAAAACTCTTTCGGCTTGCCTTACTCCTACCTCGCTAATTCGTTTAAGTATTTCGGTAATCATTTTTTCAGTTATAATATCATTTTTTTCCTCCGGATATTTTTTTTTAATTTCTTGGTTAATTTCCTCTGCTTTCATTTTCAAAATATCTTTTTTTTCTTGTTCGCTAAAATCTGGCAATTCATTTATATTAATTTCCTTTTTTAAGTCGAGAGATAAGTCATCAATATAATTTACAGTCGCAAAGAAGGTAATTTGTCTTAAATCTATTTCGGTTTGAAAATATTTATCAAAAAATTTTTTTTTTGCTTTGTAATCTTGGAAAAGTTTAATTAAATCGGCCTGAACTTTTTTGTCTTCCACTTTTTCCAATTCATCGAGGAGAATAACCGGATTTTTAGAACCTCATTTTTTAATTGCGCAGGCAACTAAACTAGGTTTAGTGTCATCTCCTAAAATAGAAAATTCTTCCGATTGCTTGAAACCAGCCAAAGGTATCGTCTCGCAATCTCGACCCATGGCATTAGCCAAGTTATGTACAAAAGTAGTTTTTCCCATGCCGGGAGCACTGGAATAGCAAATTACTCCTGCGATAGGGAAAAATCGACCTTGGGTCATACAATAAGCTCTGATATGATTAAGGAAGGTTTCTTTTTCTTCCTTAAAGCCAATATGCTTTTTTAACTCTTCGTCGGCTTTGTTAATATCAGTAGATATTTTCACCGGTCGGCTGAGAGCCTCGGTTAATTTTTTTTTTTCTTGTTGAAAGTCAGTCATAAATTAGATTATTATTTTTAGATTTATTTTAATTATTATTTAGTATCTTTTTATTGTTTAGCCACTGCCACGGTCAATGAAAAATGGCAAAGCAAATATTAAAACGGCACAGACCGCGAAAATTATGGTTCACAAGACTCATGTCTTTTTTATATAGTCCTTATAGGATAATTTAGTGGCGGTTAAGCTCATTTGGAGATTTCCGGAAAGAGGCGAAACACCATAGGCTAAAAAGCGAGCCATAAACCCGACCGTTACACTGTAAGCCAAGGTATTGGTCGAAAGGCTTTTCAAGTGCTTAGCCATAATTTTGAAAAAGGCACCTCCGACATTGACCGAGAAAAAGTTAAATAAGAAAATAACCAAGAAAATTACTGGAAGTGCCCAGAAACGGCTAGCAGGTAATAATCCGGCTCCGATTTTTAGTTCCATGTTTTTAACCAATATAACAACAGTGTGAGTGAAAATATAGATAAGGATGATGGGGGCGGTTTTGGTGATAGTAGTAAAAAGCGTATTCATAATATTTAATTTGGCAATTAAGCAGAGAATTATTCCTCCGATAGTAAATCAATAAACATTTTGAGCACTACCTCACTCACCATATTTTTTTCAGGCCGAAGTTTTTGTTTCTTTTTTTTGGGCTATTTTTATCACATTTTTGTTCTCTTGGTTTTTTTCTGGTAGCGGAGCATCAGGCGAAACATTGACTTCTCCTAAATCAATATATTCGGTTTCTTCTTCGGTATTGCATATTCTCTCCGGAATCTTGTCAGTTCATCCGGTTAGTTTTTTGAAGCAACCAAAGCTCCCGAAAATGCTTACCGCGATAAAGAAAAAAGCGACAAACAAAGTCAATTTTCTTCTTCAATTAAAGGGAGGGATTTTTTCTTCTTTTTTTGGGTCAGCAGCAGGCAGAGCAGTCGGCTTTTTTTGGATTTTATTACAATATCAAATGTTAAAAAAAACTAAAATGGTAGTTAAAATTACCCACACCATTGCCGAAAATAAAAAACCTTCCGAACCATTAAAATTAGTATTTGCATTTGGGTTAACATGACTATTGAAAAAGCCTTGGCGTCCTTCATTACCCATGCCACCGATAACTCCTACAATTGTGCCACCATAAATACAGAACAAGGAAGAAAAAATATCAAATCCCATGCTTAACAAAAGCGGAATTACCAAAGGATAAAAATGAATAAATTCATCCGCTCATCACAAAGTAGAGGCCAAGAGCGAAGTAAGAATAGTAATTAGGGCAATCGCCATAAATTTTCTCTTTTGGAGCCATTCCCTTTTGGAGGCGAATCAAGCCTGAATACTTTTACTCTGCAAAAGAGCATAAAGCATAAAAGCCATGGCGATAATGGAAAAACCGTTTCCATTATTTATATCAAAAGTCTTTTGGGTTGCTTCCCAAATTGAAGGGATAAGGTTAGTGAATCCAATTGGTTTGGCGGCGATTGGCGTTCACGAAACAAATATTAATCCGACAAATGTTAGTAGATAAATTAAAAAAAACATATAAAAGTTATTAAATTAAAAAAATAGCGTGATAATGGTTGTTATTGGTTATTAAAAAGTTAAAAAATTGTAAGATTGATAAAAAAGTTTAATTTTTGCCACTCAGCCGTGGCTTAATAAAAGAATAGTTTAGTTTCGACCAGTCAGGTCGCAACTTAGAGAAAAAAAAATTACCTCCCTTTATTAGATTTCCGAAATTTCAAATTATCATTTTCAAATATTTTTTTAGGTAATACATATTTATTTATATTTTATATAGTTGAAACAACTCGGAGAGGGTTTTTAGGATGACTCCCGTTCCGCGTTTGGACTTTGATTTTCACGCCGTTCCGGCGATATCGCAGTGAATAAAAGGTAATTTTTCCACAAATTCTTGTAAAAAAGCGGCCCCGTTAGATGCTCCCATATATCTAGTGCTAGCAATGTTACTGATATCGGCAATAGTGGTATTTTCTTTCAAATTTTTAGTATTTTCCGGAAAAAGGGGCAATTCTCAAATTCGCTCTTGGGCTTTTTGACTGGCTTGGAAAAATTGCTGATAAAATTTTGGATTATTAGTCATAACTCCGGTAGTATTTTCTCCCAAAGCCAAAACGCAGGCTCCGGTTAGGGTAGCCACTGTGATTATTTTAGTGACTTTTTCTTTTTGGATAGCATAGGTAATTCCGTCTGCTAAAACTAGGCGACCCTCGGCATCAGTATTGTTAATTTCAACTGTTTTACCGCTCATAGAAGTTATAACTGATTCAGTGAGAGTAGCATGACCACCAATCGCATTTTCGGTCAAACAAACCACCGCCACTACATTTATTTTCGGTTTTTTTTGAATTAAATCAAAGAAAGAACCACATACCACGGCAGCTCCGGACATGTCAAATTTCATACATTGGAGATATTGAGAAGGTTTTAAATCATAACCGCCACTGTCAAAAGTAATTCCTTTTCCCACTAATCCCAAAATATCTTTACTTTTTGGATTTCCTTTGTAGCGTAAAATAACTACTCGTGGTTGGTGATGACTACCAGCATTAACGGCTAGCAATAAACCCATTTTATTTTTTTCAATCTCTTTTTTTTCCAAAACCTCCACTTCGATGTTTTTTGACTTACCGAACTTGCTTTTAACTTCTTCGGCGAATTCTTGGGCGTGTAATTTGTTAGGCGGTTGGTCTTGTAAATCGCGAGCCCAATTAACCGCTTCCATTTTAATTAAAGCATGGTTTAAAATCGTTCGGGCTTCTTTATTTTTAGTTATTAAGTAATATTCTTTCATATTATTATATAAATTTTAATCTTCAATTGGAGCAATTGCTTCCGGTGAAGTTATTTTAGCAAATTGTTCTAATAAATCGTCAGAAGTAATTTTTTCTAAACATTGTTCGGCTTCTTTCTCCCGAGCGACCAAATTTTCCTTTTTTGGCGGAATTAAAAGTAATTCAGTCCCTTGGTAATCCAAAAATTCTTTAAAATTAAGTGGGATAAAGCGATAATCGGTAAATTTTTCTTGGAGGGAGGAGGGATAAGTAAGTTTTGGTTTTTCGTTAGGTTTGGTTCCCCCTGCGAATGTCCCGAACTTCGGATTTTTAACACTAATTAAATAATCACCTTCTTTTTGTAAATTAAACTCTTCTTGAACTGGCTTAATACTTTTGGGGCTAGTTAACTGGTAAACAAAATGAGTATAGTTGTTGTGTTCGACTAAAAGAAATTTCCCGGCTCCCAAACAGCGAGAAACTGGCAATTTTCTTTCCCCGCGAGTTGCGGTTGAATAGTGTTTTTCATTGAGGGCATGAAGTAGTTCATTTTTGTTTTGCTTAATGGCTTCCACAAAAGCAAAATAACTGCCTTCTTTCTCTATCGGAAGTTGTTTTTTGCCAATAATTAATAAATGGAATTTTTCCCCTAACTGCGGAGAACAAAGAACTAAAAAAAAGCGTTGAATTTCTTTGGTATCGGATACTTTTGGACGATAAAAAAAGTAAATATTGCCAGTTTTTAAAATATTAATTTTGTTTGTCATACTAATTCTACTTTTTTTTATTACTTATTTTATAATCTATGGTTTTATGGCTGCCAAACAATAATCCCTCACTAATGGCTTGAATTATTAATTCTTCGGTCAAGTCTTTACTAGTAAACGATTTAATGTCAATGTTTCAATTTTTTTCATCACTCTTGGCAAAACTAACAAAATAGTCATAAATTCGAGAAAAATTATAATCCGGACTTTCTTTTTCAACATACAAATAACAAATTTTTTCCTCCGAAATAAGGGTGGATTTCCAGGCTTTTTTTTCAATCAGAGGATGTAATTTATCCTTGTCGGTAATGGCTTTTAGAGTTAGTTGATTACTTTTAACTTTTTCTTGAATAAATAAGGTCATATACATTTTTTAATTTTAGAATAATATCCTATTAATACTATTTATTATAATTAATTTATTGACACTCGAACCTAACTTTTTAATAATTGAATTGGCGGTTCTGGCGAAAAAAACCAAAAATCCAAGAGCGAAAGAGAATTTAACTGGTAGGATTGGCGAACCTTTCCAGTTTGAAGTTTCTTTGGCGGGCGATGGCTAATAATTGTTTTTTTTCTTGGGACGAATTAACAAAAGTTATGGCCTTGCCGCTGGCTCCGGCTCGACCAGTTCTTCCCGTTCGGTGAATATAAAACTCGTTATTTTGAGGAAAATCATAATTAATAACATAGGCAATATCTTTAATATCTAATCCGCGAGCCGCTACGTCAGTAGCAATTAGTAAGGAAATTTTCTTAGTTCGGAATTTCTGAAAAACTCGGGTTCTTCGGTTTTGGGATAAATCACTGTGAATATAGTCGACTCGTAAATTGTTATCCAATAAAGTATTTTTTATCTCTTCAACTTTTCTTTTGGTATTGGCAAAAACAATTACCGATTCCAACTTGTTAGAAGAGAGAAAAGCCACTAAATCATGTTTTTTTTGTCAAGCGGAATTAGTTTCTAAATAATAATGTTCGGTTTTGTTGGGTAAATTCTCTTTTTCGTTGGTGATAAGAGCCGGATTTTTGGCAAATTTGTTTGCCAATTTGTCTATTTCCCCTTGGGACAAGGTAGCGGAAAAAAGTAAAGTTTGGCGCGACTTGGGAACTGCTTTCATTATTTTTTCAATATCTCGCAAAAATCCTTTGCTAATCATTTCGTCAACTTCATCTAAAACTACAAATTTTAAATCAGTTACCGAAAAACTTTTTTGAGTAAACATATGGTCAATAATTCTTCCCGGAGTGCCAATTATTACATCTACTCCTCGCCGAAAGTCTTGAAATTGTCGCCGGTAAGAATCTTTGCCTCCCCCTCCGTAAATTGCGACCACTCGTAAGTTGTCATGGGGAGATAATTTGCGGGCTTCCTCGCTTACTTGTAAAGCCAATTCCCGAGTCGGAACTAAAATAAGTACTTGGGGCTTGAAAATTACAGTTAATTTCTCTAAAACTGGAATAAGAAAAGCAGCAGTTTTTCCGGTTCCGGTCTGCGATTGAGCGATAATGTCCCGACCTTCCAACACCAAAGGAATGGTTTGCAATTGAATATTAGTTAATTTTTGGTAGCCACTTTGGCAAAGATTTTTTTTGGTTTTTTCCGATAATGATATGTTTTCTAAGTTCATTTACTATATTATATTTATTTATTAAATTTTTATCTATTTTGCCTAAATTGGAGGTTAATATCCAAAAATAAATTAGCGAATATTTGGTTAAATTACCTAGCGAAGCAGAGTAATTAATTATTACCTAGGGCAAAATAAATGTCTATTTTTTTTATCAAAATATTGACCCAAATGAGGATTAAAAAAATGCTTATTAAACTACCCAAGAAAACTATTTAGGAATTAGAACACTAAAAACCAACCAACTCTCTTTTTTTGTCCTTCTTTGCCTTTTGGTGAGAACAAACAATCAGAATTAATTCACTAATTGCGACTATTAATAGCAAAGGTGATTTTACTTCCAATATTAATAAATTACAACAGACTTTAAAGGAACTAATAGATGCTTACAATAGTTAATATCTCTTTTTAGTCTTTTTTCGTGATATCTTAATAAAAAATATGGTTAAGGCAACTACTATTCCAATTGCTCCGGCAACAACTAATGCATTTTTGAAAGGGAAATCATCTCTGGTAGATTCACTTTCGAGGGCAATACGTTTCCTAAAATCATAATCCATTAGTTCATTCTTTTCGGCTTCGGTCAAGGGTGAACCACTAATATTTATTTCTTTGCCTTCATCTATTAATCTTTTTCCCTCCGCTACACTTTTGACAGTTGGTCTAGGATTTTTTCTTTCTTTCCGATATGACTCAATAGTTTTTTTCGCACAATCATCACAATATCTACCTTTGCCGCCCACTGTATAATATTCATCAAAACTTAAATTACATTTATCGCACTTTTTCTGATTATTATCGGTTGAATAATATTTCTCCATATAATAATTAACACAGCAATCTTTCGAACAAAATTTTTTACCATCATTCTCATCTGTATTTTCAAATTCGACTTTTGAACTGCTACATTTAGCACAATTTGCTTCATCTTTGGAGGAGTTTTCAATTTCGAAATCTTTATTGTTATTTTTTTTATCTTGCTCTAATTTAGTTATTTCTTTCTTTTTGTCCTCAATATCTTGGCGATTTTTTACATATTGTCGGCAAATATTTTTCTGTTCCTTATCCAGTCAGTCAGCATTTTCCCAATCATGAACGCTAATATCTTTTAATGCATCCATATCAGCAAGTAAAGGTTTTCGTTTAATGTCACCAGATAAAAGTTTATTTAATTCTTTAATAGCACTTTCTGTTTCATCTTCCAACGCTTTTATTTTTTTATCCAACGCTTTTTCTACTCTTTCATTGTGTTCTACAAAAAAATTTACAACACAAATTTTCGAGCAAAATTTTCATTCTCTTGTGTTTGAGGTCAAGGGTTTATCTCCCTTTTTAAAGTCTTTATAGCATTTATTGCAATAACCAAGTTTTTTTGGTTTATTCGTTTCCTTTCTTTGTTCAACTTCCTCTTCTCGTTTTTGGTAAACTCGCCTTTTAATTGCACAATCAGAACAAAGAACCGGAGCATCAGCAAATCAGCGATTAAATACTTTTAACGGTGGTCAATCATCTCGATTGTGTGGCTTATCATTTACATTTCCGCAAACACCACATATTATTCTTAAAATTCCTGCCATATTTTTTAATATTTTTATTTTCGCTCTCCCTAAGAAAAGCAATCTTATACCTATATTTTACAATATATTTTTATAATCAGAACTTTTTTACCACTCCAATTTCTTTTTGGTCTATATTCACAAAAATATGGTACCAATAAATAAATCTGCTAACTGCAATGAAATTTTACTAACTAATAACCAAAAAAAGATTCGCAAAAAAGGCTCGCTAACTAAGCGAAAGGAGAAGAATATTTTTGTCCCGCATGGCTAAACTTCATGAACTAACTGGGCAAATTACCAAAAAAGAACTCCATAAAGTTTATAACAAAAATAGTCCCTATCACGGTAATATTTGCCACAAATTAACCATCACTAACCAAAATAAGGAAGAATTAATCTTTGTTTATCCTAATATACTTAGTCCATTAATTCTCCACACCATTGAACAAAGCCAATATATCGATAAAAAATATCTCTTTTTTTGCCAAAAAAAGCCTAAAAGGTGAGTTTTGCACCATTGAAGAGAACTAACCAATCATGAATAAAAAAAATAATTTTCAAAAACAACTCAAATTCCATTGTTTTGCTTGCCAAACTGTTTACCAATTAATGGAAGTTCACAGCCAAAATAGTGCTAACTGTTCGGATAATTGCCAAACTAAATGACAAGCAATCCTGCATCAATATTACCAAGAAAAAGTATTAGGTTATATTCAACAGCAAGAAGCCGAAAATAAGGAGTTTGAGGAAGACTAAATTTATGCCTAAATCTAAAAAACTGCAAAAGCAAATCGAAAATAAATTAGAAAAATTAAGTAAATTAATCGACCAAATTGAAGAAGCCCGAATCATTAACTCCAATGACCCCGACACCTGAGACTCCGATGCTCTTTATAATTTGGTAGAAAACTGTAAGGAAATCCTAACTCTTTTAGAAGACCAACTAATTAAAGGCAAATTGGATGAATTGGGTCAGCCTTTTTATGAAGATGGTTTATGCTCTTTAATGGATAATTATTGAGCCGAGGAAGAAGAAACCGATTAAAACTATGCTAACCCTAATAATCGCTTCGCTAATTGGCGGAATAATAATCGGCTTAGTCTTAGCTACTTTATCTCTCTGACTAATCAAAATTAAATGTCCGAAATGTAAACAATTAAAGCCTTTGCCGGAAATAATTCGCTTTCGCGGAAAATTCAGACAAATAACCGGGCAAATTTGCCAAAAGTGCCAAAGACCTAAACCGCAAATAGAACTCTAAATATGAATTGAACTGCTTATTGAACTTTGAAAAGAGCTAATCAGCCCAAAGCAAATATTATGAATAATAACCATAATACTAGTCCATATAGGGCTTGACTCCAAGACAAAAATTTATCGCCCAATACAATTAGACTTTATTTAAATACGCTCCAAAAATTCCAACAAAAATTTAGCACCGTCAATCTTAAAGAGTATTTCCGCACTAACTTAAAAAAATACCAAGCCACTAGTTTAAAAGTTCAGCAATATGCCTTGAACTCTTATATCAAATTTAAGCAATTGAAAGTCGAATGAGAAAAAATTGCTCGGCTAATCCCCCAAACTCAACGCAAATTTTATAGCACCATTAATGAAGTTGAATTAGCCCGGATTAAAGCGACCTGAGTAGAAAAGAACCCTTTAATTCATCAGCGGAATAATTTAATGCTCGATTTTTTGCTTTATTCCGGTTTAAGAATTAACGAACTGGTAAATGTCAAACATCAAGATTGACAAACTAATCAATTAAGAATTTTAGGCAAAGGCAATAAAGTCCGCTTTGTTTTATTACCGGAATTCTTAATTACCCACTTTAACCCTTTTTCTACTGCTTACTTATTTACTAACCAAAGAGGCAATCCCATTAAAGCCGAATATATTCGCTGATTATTAAAAGCCCGAGCCGCCAAAGCCGGAATTAACAAGCGAATAACTCCTCACACCTTTAGAAGAAGTTTTGCCACCCTTTTATACCGCAATGGAGCCCAATTATTAACTATCCAACAATTACTAGGCCATTCCAGTGTCCAAACTACCGAGCAATATATTCAGAACGATTTTGAATATGTTTATGCGGATTATAGTAAACTATGAAAACCAACCCCAAATTTAAACACTTATGAACCATAACATTTACTTACTTTCTCTGAAAAATAGCGAACTTCTTCAAGAATTAGCCCAGCGAATAAAAAATAAAAGAATTAGACTCACTCAGCGACTAGAAGGTCAATGTATCGGTGGCTTGTTATCTTGGGACGAAGAGGATAAATATTGGCTAAATCTAGTCGAGTTAGATGATACATTTAAAAATTTGAGAGCTCATTGACATTCTTTAAAAACTGAACCAGAAGAAAACCAAGAAAAAGTAATCTTTAATTGTCAAGAATGCCAGACTCCGATAAAAATGTCTCAACCTAAAAAAGGCGGTTTAAAAGTTTTAGAATTCTATGGTAAATGAACCGGTCAAGGACATAACCTAGTTTGCCAAAAGTGCTTAGAAAGCAAAGAAACTAAATAACCATCATGAAAAACCCTAAATGCCCCACTTGCCGAACCCCAACTGAACTAGTTATTTGCTATTGTCAAGAACCTCGGAAAATCCATTTCTGCCGAACTTGCCGAAAACACTACCCCATTACCAACTAATATGAACGAACTATTCCATTTTTTTGCCCAAGGACTAATCATTATTTTCTTCTTTGTCTTAGGCTTATTTTTACTAGTGAGAATGAAAAGAATTCTTGCTTGGTTTTTTGCTTTTTGAATGATTATGGTTATTTTGGCTTTTTTTGTGCTTCCGCTCATCACCATAATTTGAGCCATTGTTTTTTTGGCAAAATAATTTTCCCAAAAACACCAACTAATCTGCTCCAAAAGAGGTTAAACCTTGGCTGGAGCTACCTTTAACAGGGGGTAAAAAACCAAACAAAACTGTTTCCACCAGTGATAAGTTATGGGCTAAGTAAGCAATTATTTAGTAAGGAAGACCTCTCCCGTGGAATTAAAAGGGACGAAAAACTAAGCCAAGTCTGGCTGACAGAATAACCCGGAGGCAGAAATGACCGTCAATTATGGAAACAGACCAACCTTAGGGTAGAGATTAAGCAAATGCTTAATGTGCCACCGGCACTAGGAGCCTTATCTCGGAGGTCAAGCCGAGGTCAAAGAAGCCGAAGAGTTAGTCAAGGTTCTTCTTCGTAAAAATAAAAAACCGAAAGTTAGAGGAGAGGGATTTTTTTTTACTCCTCTATATTATTTTGCTTCTTTGCAGAGTAGGATATTTACTTATTCCTCTCTCCTCTACCCTAATAAGCAGCACTACCTACATTCAGATAAAATGAAAGAAAACCAATTAACTAAAACCGAAAAAAGATATTTAAAACACCTTGACAAGAATTATATAATTCTGCCGACTAAACATAAAAAACCTTTGGTGAAGAACTGAAACAATTACGGCAAAAGTTATTATTTAGAAAGGGCAAATATAGAAAAATTATTAGCCACTAATCAAGAATATTCCCTCCGAACTGGCAAAAAAATTAGTCCTAATTATTATTTTATTGCTATCGATTTAGATGATATTTGAGCCTCCGAGCGAATAAAAGTTAGCCGCTATGTTGAAACCCAAAGGGGCATTCACCGCTATATTTGAATTAAAGAATTACCCAAATCTTGTTGATTATTAAATAAGTTAGGACAAAAAGTCGGAGAAATCCATAGTTTAGGAAGATTTGTAGTGGGAATAGGCAGTATTCACCAAAGTGGAAAAAGATATAGTTTAAAAGGTAGCAATAATCTTAAATGGTCTCTAAAATTTGAGAAGTTAGCTGAATTACAGCAATTCTTAACCGAACGAAATATCTTCACTACTCCCTGAGGCAAAAAAGGTTTAGAAAATATCTGCGATTTAGAACCTTATTGTCCCAAACCCCCACCGCTTAGCAAAAAAGCCCAATATTTTCAAAAAAAAGCGAAATTGGAAGAGAGAGTTGCCCAGAACCCCCGCCAAGATTTATTGAATATCTGTTATATTTGCTTAGTTTATTTTGTCAAAGAAACCGAGACAATCAAAGCCCATTTGTCCGGCAAAAAGCATCAGCAGAATTGAAAAATTTATTCAGAAAGAAAAAATTTAGCCTAAAAAAAATATATGACTAAGGAATTATTAATAATAACTTTCCTAATTTTAGTGATTTATCTTACTTATCAGTCCCAGCCCCAGCCCAAATTACTAACCAACTCCGCCCAACTCACTAAATTAGAGCAAGAAAGAAACCATTACCAAACCCTTTACCAAAAAAGGGTAGAAAAAGATTTAGCCGCCGACCAAAGCGAAAAAATTAAGCAACTTAGCCAAAATATTCAAGATTTAGAAAATAATTTAGCCGGAGAAAAAGCAACAAATAATCTTTTTCAGCAAAAATTAAGCGATTTAGAAAACTCTTTATTAGCCTTGGCAAAGAATAAACTAAAAGGCAAAGCCGAATATTTAAAATTGGTAGCGGAATTGGAAAATAATTTTAAAGGAAAGGAGCAAGAAATAACTAAAAAAAAGAGCAATTTATTAAATAAATTAGATAATTATTTAGCAAAATAATAATATTATGGTAATCCAAACTAATGAACTAGATTTTAAAGGTAAAACCTTACAGGAATATTTAGACTGAAAATATCCCACTAAGGAGGATAAGGAGAAAGTGGAGGAGATTAGTGCTGAGTTAATAGATAATATTAGGAAAGAGGCTGGGATTATAAAGAAATTAGAAGGAGGAGAATTAGATTTAAGAGACTTTGCGAATTTAGAAAAAATTAAGGTTTCTAGTTATATGGGTTTAAGCACTCCTATTACATCAATTAAGTTGGTAAAAAATTCGGAAAAATTAAAAAGCATAAATATTTCTAATAATAACATTCAACCGAATGATATTGAAATGTTTAGTGGATTCATTAACCTAGAAAGTTTGCTAATAGGAACAGAATATCCAAACGAAAAATATAACAGATTTTTTGGTAATTTAAATAGTCTGAAAAATATGCCGAATTTGTCTTATTTATGTATCGAAGCCACGGATGTGGATGGTGGTTTAGAATATCTTCAAGGTCCGTTAAGAAAACCTTTTGTGGAGGATGGAAGAGAAAGAATTTCTTGTATTCCTCATAGAGTTGATGCTAAAGTTAAAAGTATCCAAGACCAATTACGCTCTTTTGATTATAATGTAGAAGCCTGACAGTTAGCTAATCCAGATAAAATGGTAAAAGTCTGAAAAGAAAAATACCAAGATAAATCCCAATTAATCACTGAATTAGAAACCAAAATCACCCAAACCCAAACTGAACTCCAAACCGCGAAAATCCAAGAAGCCGACAAAACTAAAAAAATAAGAAGATTAGAAAGTAGTCTCCGACTTCTAACCGCCACCAAAACTCGCTTAGAAACTGAATTAGCCACCGAACAGCAACAGCATAATCAGACTAAAACTAATTTCCAGTCCCAATTACGGGACTTAGCCACCATACTTTTTCCCCTTCACCCTCTTCCTACTAATATTAACTTTGCTGATTTGAAAAGTCAAATCCAAAAAAATATCCAAAGTCAAATCCAACAAATCATTAATCTCCAAAAAGCCTTAGTAGAAGAAGGAAAACACCGCCAAAGAAATTTTGAAAGTGCCAAAGCCGGAGCCGAAAGAGTTAAAGAAAAGAATGAGGAACTAAAATTAATTCAGCAGAAAAATAAAGAGTTAGCAACCAAAATCTCAGAATTAGAAATCTCCTCCCAAAATCAAACCAAACAAATCACCCAACTAGAAACTAATAACCAACAATTATTAAAACTTCTCCAAACTACCGAGCAAGAATTAACTAATACCAAAAATCAACTAACTCAAATTCAAGAAAAAATAACCCATTTAGAACAGCAAAAAACTCAAACCAACCAAACCATTACTAATTTAGAAAGTCAAATTGAAGTTAAAAAAGGTGAATTACAGCAAGGAAAAGATACTAACAATAAATTATTCTCAGAACTAACCACTGCTAAAAATCAATCAGCCACTAACCAAGAAAAAATCAAGCAACTCCAATCTAAAATCAAACTCTTAGAACAGCAAAAAACCACCTACCAAACTAAATATGATAAGTCGGTTGAATTCATTAGAGAAATTAGAGAAGATATTGCTAAAATATAAAAACCCAAAAACTTTCCACAAAATAGGACACAAAGAGGAAACCAAACCCTAAAATACCATTAACTTTCCACCAAACCCAAAAATAATTAGTAAAGAATGGTCTAATTGGTGTAAAATTTAAATAAGTAATGAAAAAAAATTTAAAGATTTTACCCACCAATCAACTTCTAGTCCAAGTTTGGGATTATATTATCAGTCGATCCGGCAAAAGAGGAGAACACAAAAAAGAAATTAGTGAGGGTTTATATTTGCTCGGTTGAAAAGTCGGCTTGCGAATTAGCGAAGCCATAAATTTTGACCTGTCATTGGAAAACCAAGAATCAACTTATAAAAATCTCTATCTTTTACGCGGTAAAGGCAAAAAAGAAAGGTGAGTTTATGTAGGAGAAGAAATTATTCGCGAACTAAAAAAACGTGATTGAAAGCCTCAGCAAACTAACCGCTTTACTTTTAGCAAGTTTTTAGAGCAAGTTAAAAAAGAAATGAATATTGCCCAAAATATTGAATTATCTCCCCACACCCTCCGCCGATGCTTTGCTACTCACCAAGTCATTTCCGGAATGCCTTTACCAGTTTTACAAAAAGTATTAGGGCATAGCAAAGTATCTACTACCGCTTTATATATCCGAGATGGCGATTTAGAAAATTTGGTGAAATTCCGCCCTGTCTAAGGAAAAAGTCCACCAAAATATAATAATATATGACTATCACTGGTAAAAAACAATTAACGGAAAGAATTTCCCGCCAAACTAAAATCACCCAAACCCAAGTGGGGAAAATAATTGAGGAACTATTAACTGAAACTAAAAAAGCCCTAATCAAAGGCGAAGAAGTTAAGTTTTTAGGTTATTTCTCTTTTAAAACTACTCTCACTAAGCCTAGAATAGCCATGAACTTACAAACTAACAAAAAAATGAAAGTGCCAGCTAAAAGAGTTCCTAAGTGTAAATTCAGTTCAGTTTTAAAGGAAGAGATTGCGAAGAAGAAATAAATTAAGTTATGAACCAACTCACCAATCAGGAATTAATCAACGAATTAAAAAAACGAGTTCAGAACGACACTTTACAAGTAAAAACGCTACCTAAATTGGAAAAAGAAACTAAGACTTTGTTTTCTTGTCTGGATAGCGGAAGCCTATTATTACTAGTTGGTTTGACTGTGAGTTTTACTTTCTTAGTTGGTTATATTCTAAAAGTGAACACTAACTCAATTACCGGTGTTAGCTTGGAATTTTCAGAACAAAAAAGTAAAATAACTTAATATGGTAGTAAAAAATAATAAACCGAAGCAATTAAGCCTTAATCCTTTATCGGTGGCTAAATTTTTTTATGAAAAGTTAGGAGAGAGAGGAGAAGAACAAACTTTTCTACAACCCATTACTTACCTACTTTGCCAAGAAGTCTTAAAAAAAGAAAATATTATCCTTTTTAATGAGAAATTTCAAACTGGACTAGCTTCTCCCATTCTGCCCTCCCTCACTGGATTAATAAAAAAACACGGAGACCACTTAGACAGTTTTTTTTCGCAAATACCAGATATCAACAATCCTCTTATCCTTGCTTATTTGGAAAAATTAACTAAAAAATATGCTAACTCTTTCGGTTTTGAAGTTCAATACCAAGCTCAAAAAAGAAGTGGGATAACAATTTAAAATATGTTATTTTCTTTTGATAAACTAATAATTGACTGCGTTCATGATGATTTGCTTACTAATCGTTTACAGGAAACAAAACTAAGGACTTTTTTTTCTTCTCTCATGAGAGTGTTAGTTCGGCATTCCGGTCATACTTGAAAAGAAATTAAATCCGAAGACCCTCATTTACATATCCTCTCTGATAAAGAAAAAGACTTTTTAGAAAAGCAACTGAAAAGATATTGTAATCGCCGAAAACTAGCCGAATACTTGAATAATTTTGAAATTTGCCAAATGTCCCTAGATGAAGAAGAAGGAAGGGCGATTGGCATCATTCGCCAAATAAATAATTCTACCAAGCATCCCGAGAGAAATTATTTATTTTGACCTTTATTCCTTGATTTCGAACACTCTTTCCATCCAAACTTACGGAAAAAAAAACTAAAAAATAGTTCTTTAATCTGTATTATGTCCGAAGAAGATTGCCTTTATATTTAAAATTCTTCCCATTCTCCAAAAAAAATAACCCCAAATCACTCTAAAAAATTTTCCCCCAAAAATCTGAATAGACCACCTAAATTAGCACCCTGCTAATTCAGACTTATAATTCAGATATTCCTCCCTCACGCCTCTCCCAACCAAATCCCTAAAATCAAAATATAGCCTTGATTAAGCCCGGTATCGGAATTAGCTCTATTTAGAAAAAATATTGAAAGCTCTCCTGCGAAATCAGCAACTTTCCAGCTCTCCTTGGTTTACTCCAAGCAACTGAAAATAAATATTTTTTCTGAATCTTCTTAGACTTGTAAAAGAACAATTAAATCTATGTTCAAAAATACTAAGCTAACTCAGCAAGAACTAAAACAGGCTTATCAAATAGTCAGCCAAGATTTAGTGCATAACCTTGCCAAAATCAAAGATGGAGAAGGAATTCGCCTTACTAACTTAGGAACTTTTATTAAGTCTCGCCAAAAAGTTAAAGACTGAAATCAAAAGAACTATGTTTATTGAAGAATTAGTTTTCGTTGTGCTAGTAATTTAAAAAGAGTCTTAAATAAATAATGGATAAAAAAATAATACTATTAGGAATAGCCGTGATTTGTGTCGGTCTGTATTTTTACGGACAACAAACCAAAGATAACAGTTATTTAAAACATTTACCTACTATCGGCGGTCTCGCCTTCGGTTTAAATACTTTAATTAATTTAGCCCACTAATATTAATAACAACCAGAATCAACCAACTAATAATCTAGCCCAAGGCAAACCGAACAGTGGACTATTTTCCTTACCTCCTTCGGTAATGAACTTAATTCCCTGAGTTCCCTTGATGTTAGAGATGACCACCGGTCAAAAAATACCCCACATGACTGGCACTATCGCCGAAATTCAGCAAGGGATTGTCCAAATTCAAATGGCTCAGACTCAGATTATTCAGAGTAATCAGCAATTAGAGCAAAGGTTAATCGCCTTAGAAACTAATGCTAGTTCTCAATTTACTAATCTAGTCCAGCAAGTCCAAAGTATTAAATCGGTTCGGCTTTCCCACGAAAGAGAAAGAAAGCAAATTGATTACAATTTAGCCCCCCAACAAGAATAATTATGTCCTTCTTCCCTGATATCACTCCTTTGGTTAAGGAAATCCAAGAGTTTAAAGCGGCTCAACAAATAGCCCAAGTTCGAATCATTGCCCTGTTAGAGGAACAAAACCAACTATTAAAAGAATTAATTAAAAAAAATGACAAATAGAATATTAGAAACCAAAGCCTCCAAAGCCAAAATAGGAAGTATTGACACTGCTCAATTAGAGTATACCTTTACTACCTCCTTAACTTACGGAACCATTATGTTTGCGATAGTCTTAGGTTTAGGCTCTATCACTTATATGACTATTCAACAATTAAAAAAGTAAAATTATGACTAACGAAAATCAAGAAAATACCAATACCTTACAATCCTGAGCCACTGGTAAAATTGCCATGTTCACTATCGGACTAATGGTCGGAATATTCCTCTACAAAGCGGGAATAATCCAAAAATTAACCGGTAAATTATTTAACAAAAAAGAAAGCGAGTAAAAAATCTCGCTTACTTGCTAAGCCCTTATTTTAGTCTCGTATGAGAATATTAAACCATTATGACTGACTTAACTCCTAGTTTAAAAAAAACTTCTATTTTACTCTGAACTAATGCCAATCCAAAATTGCCTAATTCTTTTATCTTAAAGGATAGACAAAACAAAAGGTATTTAGGCTTAGTTAGAACTGATCGCAAAGGACAAACTTATTGAAGTTTTCGGGAGATTAAGTCTAGCCCTGAATCTAGCCCGCTAATGGATAATGTTGCTAAATTCCAGCAACGCCAAGCCAAAACCGAACAAATTAATCATGCTAAACAATCAATTAACTCCGAATCTAATTAGCACGGTTCAAGATTTAAGCACTAGTTTACGCGTTCTCCAACCCATTAGTTCGGATAATCAAACTACCCAACTAATTACTTACGCCTTAGTGGCCACGGCAGTAGTAGGAATATTTGTTTATCACTATATTAAAAATCAAGAAGCTTTGTAAAAGCTCTTAACGCAAGAAAGCAAAAGCAAATTAACTAACCATGGCAATTAAAGATTATTTACCCGATTTCAAAGGAGCCTTAACTGGCTTTTATGAAGAAAATATTAAACCAAGTTTAGAAACCAAAGCCAATTATTACGAAAATTTACTGCATGAAAATATTGCTTTTTCCCAAAGAACCCAGAAAATCGGAATTGCCTTGGGAATTGGCATATTCTTATTGCTCGCCATTGCTTACTTCTGAAAAGATGAATAACTCCCTCCATTATAAAAACAAATAAAAATATGCCCAATTTAAAATATATCGCCGTGGGAATAGTAGTCGGATACTTAGGACTTTACGTTTATGAGTTATCGGCGGCTAAACTAGCGGCTCATAAATCAGAATAAACCATGAATAAATATCTAATCCTTTTCTCAATCTGCTTTGTAGTCGGAATGTATGTTCGTCATTGAATTAACACCGGCTCCGGACAATTCAAAAGATTGGGATTTTTTAATTAAAAATTATGTCCGCTCCCGTTACTATATTATGTATCCTATTAGCGGTGGGAATGGGTTGTTTAGCCCAGCAAACCATTGAAACCTTTATCAACACCTCCCTCGCTTTATTGCCCTTTAATATCCGCACTATCTAAGCCTTGTAAGAGAAAACCACCCAATAAAAAAAATATAAAAATATGAATTTAATCGAAAGCAAATACACTTATTTAGCCCTTGGTATAGTAGCCGGCTTAGCCGCCGCTTATGTCTATGCTAATTATTTAAAAAAAGACTAAAAAATTATGCGAATTATTAAGCGAAAGAAAAACCAAAAAGTTTATGACTCTGACAAAAACTTGTCTTTTTGAGACCAAGTTGACCAACAAACTCACTACTTAATTGCCGATATTTTGAACCGCAAACTGCCCTTGGCTAATTGTCGGGATAAAAAAATTTTTAATCCGGAGGATGATGCGGATTACCGCACTCTGGGGGCAGAATACGAGAATGATTTCGGCAATGACTTACCCAACCAAAAAGAAGCAAGTCAAGCCATTGCCTATGAATATTTATTCTTAGTAGTCAAAGGTTTGTTAAGTGAACTAAGTCAGTTTAAATGTCATCAAACCAAATATTTTAACCAATTATATTAATTATGCCCCGAATAGATAAACCTAAAAAAAAGAAAATTACTAAATCAGTAATTTCCAAAAAAACCAAAAAACCGACTAATTTACCGGCAATTAGAAATGCCAAAGTCCATTCCAAAAAAACTAAGCAAAATCCAGTTGAATACTATAATTGCCTTTTAACCCAAGCCCAAAATAATTGATTAGACCCGCTATCCGGAAGCAAGAAAAAAATAACTGCTTGCTGTAAAGAATGTAAATTAAATGCTCCGGCTTTAAATAGTTTTCGCAATTTAGAACTAAAAAAACTGATTAACTCTTACCAGCAAGTCGGAGACAGTTTAAAAAAATTACTCCAACCAATTAAATAAAATGCAAAAAGAACCGCTCATCTTACTAACTGGTATCGGTCTAGTAGGCTATGTAGTTTTTCACGGCCACCGCCTAAACCAAGAATGCTGACTGTGTCCTTATAAAGGAATTACTTTTTTGGGCAGTTCGGTGGCTTTGGGAGCCTTTTTAGCCGTAAACGAAAATTAAAAAATTATGATTACTTGCTGCGAAATTGCGATTACCCTCGCCTTTACTAATTTACTGTCTTTGGCTATTTTTGCGGGCTATACTATCCGAGTTAGCCAGCGAACTCTCCAATTAGAGAAAAAGAATGGTAAAGAACAGCATCAGCTAGATGAACTTAAAAAAAAGATTGAACAATTAGAAAAAAAATAATACCAAAAATTTTTCCGCCCATGGATAACTGTCTCCTTTGCCAAAAAAGAAAACCATTCTTGAATGCTAATATCTGTTTTATCTGCTCCCTTACTAAATTACCTTAAATATGATTATCTACTTATTAATTCTGGCTCTAGCAGTCGGTTTGGTTTACTATTACCGCCCTAAACCAGAAAAAGAAATCTGATATGATGCGGCGGAAGAACTTTAATTTATGACTAAGCAAGCTTTACAAAAGGAACTTTTAGAAAAAGTAAAACCGGGGGCAAAACCTTCGGATATCAAACGCTTAAAAAGAAGCAAAAGTGCCGGTGATATTCCTACCGCTCCGCCTTTGCCTAATTTAGCCCAAGAAAACCAGCAACTAAAAGACCAATTAGCTCGGTTAAAAGCCACCCCGCCTAATCTTTTCCTCTCTGGCTTACTAGAAACCAAACAGCAAGAACTAGAAAAAGTGCGAAAAGAATCCGAAACCAAATCTAATACTATCCGCTTGCTGCGGGAAAACTTAGAAAGAGATACCAAAGAGCAAGAAATCGGCGAATTAAAAAAGCAATTAGATAATTCCTTAGAAGCTCGCACTAAGGCTTTATCCGACTGAAATAAGCAGCGAGAGCAAATTCAAGCCCTTAGTCAGGAATTAGATGAAACTATCGACCAAGTCAGCAGTGAACTAACGGCGGGTGATACTGAAATTAGCCAATTACGGACTAAAATTTGAACCCTTAAAAGCACTAACCAAAGCCTAGAAAGAGAATTAAAATTAAGCCGAATTAATCGCGGTAATTCCAATTCACCAAGCACTAATGCTAATAATTACCAAACCAAACTAGACTATTTCCAATATGCCCTTTATGCTCTAATGGCACTCTGATTTATGCTGGTCTTAAATAGTGCTTGAAATGCCAAACATTCCCTAAATACAAAAAACCAAAATGCTTAAAAACACTCTAATAATTGCCTTAGTAATAGT